ATCCTTCTTTAAGGCCTGGTCAAGGAGAACGCCCCCCCCGCCATGGAAGGGAACGACGATACCCCCCCCCTTTCATTCTAACAATTCGCCCCCCCCCCAATTATAACGACAAACCCCCCAACCCCGCTATCGGGCGGGTATGGTCTAAAGATCTGATTTGCAAAGAAACGCCTGTGTGGATCAAAGACATACGTGACACGAACACACACCCACCTGGAAAATGCAACCATGATGCCACTGAAAACCTCTTCACCAGGTGTGACTTGCCACATCTTAGGAGCTGAGAATGTCATTGAATTTACCAATTTCAAACCAATCGCCTCCTCCCACTTCCATGGGTCCACATGTCACACAAACCAATGGGTGGACCCACACGCAAACCAATCACATCATGTTCAAAGGGTCCACCCATGGAAACCACACGGCCAAACCCTCACACCAAGGTGGACCCGCGGGGTCTGAGACGCCGCTGGCTGCGCAGTACGGTTTCAAGGATCGCAGCAGTACTGATCGCAGCAGTTTCGCGGTCGCGTACTTGAAGCCCCTAAAAAGGCTCCAACAACCATTCCATGTAGGCAAAAGATGACCAAAGAAAACCTCCAAAGATGACCAAAGATGATGCAGCTCCTGGGGAAAGGAATCCTGCTACAGTAGACCAACCAAATGACCAAAACCACCCCAAACGTCAGAACGTCCAGTACTTCGTAGATCATCTTTGCAGCCCCCTCCTGGTTCGCGCCGGGCGAAACCGCTCCTCACCACCTCACCGCGAAACCGTTTAGACACGACCGGCCTCGATATACCGAGGTTTCGCCAAGGGACTGAGGCCACGGTGGGCAAAACGATCTGCTCAGCCAACTGTTTCTGGATGATTTCAGCCAGGAGCTTCCTGAGTCGTTGTGCTGTTCGCTTCGAAAACTCCTCGTCGTCCCAGCTGGCGCTGGCGAGCCAGAAGCCAAAGCGACATGACGGAGAAGTGATGGGGACCCTAGCCTGCCAAAAGCTCTACGCCGACTCTACGATGATGATGTTTTGCATCAATTTGCTGCACATGGTCAATGGCGCGTCAAATGGCGCCCCTATGGCTCCATGAATTGGAACTTGTGGGCCAAACGCCCGATTTCATCCAAACGGAACATTCAACCGACCACGCGTGAAACCCGACCACGCGCGACCGTGGCGACCGTGTGAAAGGACGGGGCGACCGACCTCCTGACTCCCAAAGAGAGCGAGAAAGGACGGGTCGAGCCACTGGTGAAGAAGATCAACCGACACACACCCATCTTTGCCCATCTCATGGTGGTCCTCCCCTACCTACAGAGGTGGACAGTGACCTGAACTACCCGTCACCAGGGGTACCCAACTAGGATAGTCTAGTTGGGGTTCTGACCCACCTCTGCTGGTATTTGAGATGACCCATCGACCGGACCAAACCCATCGACCGGCACCGTGCAGTCCCAGTCCCGAACCGGGGAAGACGTGCGCTTACGTGGCCCAACTGACCAAGTGGGAGGCTGAACATGCTGCTGAAATATAGCCTATATCAGTTTCTTCTCAAAGTGATCCAATATCATGGAGCAGTTTCTTCTCAAAGTATAGACCTGAAGAAGAAGGTGGTCATCAATATACAGTACTTTTCAGAGTAGATGGCACAAACCCCAAAATGTCTGAAAATTATATGGGTCCTTATCAACCACCTTATGAGGATTCCGCCATCTACTCTGAAACCACTCTACTCCTGTCGGACTTGCTGAACTGTACTGATCCTGAGAAGGACTTTACCACTCGCTTGAGACTTTGAGTCGCTGTTATGGACAAGAACAACGGGTGGGCACGTCTTCCGCATCTTCCACTTGGGATGCTTTGTGCATGCTGGTGCCTCAAGACGTGAGCTTTCAAACCTCTTCTGTTCCCGCCACCTGGCTGCCAGCTCCAGCCTCGACCCCGTGCGACCCTTCTGGTTTCCAAGCTGCTCCAACCACAGCAAGGACACCTGACAAGCCGGAGGGCTGTGGAGCTCTGCCAGGCATGGAGAAGTCCCGTGAGGGGATGAGATGACCAATATAGATACACTCCCTGAAAGCATAGAATTGGAGTTTCACCACCTGTTGGTACAGGAGAATGGTCATCCAAGGGGCCATGCATGGCCTTGCTTCCATGATTATGCTGTTTTTCAGGGAGTGTACTTTGACATGAGATCAACTGGGCAAAACATAGGTCCGCGGGCGACCGGGAATCGGGAAAGAAGGAACTCAGATCGTTCGGTTTTGGCATAGCTCCTTGGATGTTGGCATTGTGCCACATGAAAAGCCTTGGGCGAGACTTGGGATGGCCACTTGATCGAGCAAATTGCTATGCGAAGATTCTTATGGAAGGTAGGAGTTGAAGAAAATAATGTGGTCCTCTGATTAATAAACGCCCCTAGAATAATGTTTTTTGTTTTTCCCCTGCACTGATTAATAAAGGCCCCAAGAATAATGTCCTTCTTTTTTTGGCAGGGATAGTTGTAGTGGAATATGTTTAAGTGTTATAGTTTACTTTGTCCCTTTTGAGTTTGCTGGGATTTGCTTATGTTGGAGGCTTTTGGATGAGATTTCTATTCAACATTTAGACTTCCATTGAGATTTGATGCTTTTGGAGGCTTTACTTACCTAAGCTCTTTAGTCGTTAAGCTTTCCAAAACTTTCCAAAAGTCAGTGCACACTCTCTTTTACAAAATCCCTTATTCAAAAGTATTGAAAATAGATCATTCAAGCAAAGGGGGTAGTCCAGCAAGCAGCTTTCTGACATTATTTAGGGGGCCCCCTAGAATAATGTCTAGAGATTTCAGGCTTCAAAAAATATTTTGCTTTAGGTAAACTTGTATTCATTCCAATTCTTTTCCTTTTGATTTGCTTTACTTACCTAAGCTCTTTAGTCTTTAAGCTTTTCAAAAGTTTCCAACAGTCAGTGCACACTTTCTTTACAAAACCATTATTCAAAAGTATTGGACGCTTTTGAAGGTCTTTGGATTCAAATGTCCATTAACATATTGAGAATTCCATTTCAACTTTATTGATTTCCTTTTATTTTAGTATTCCAGATGTCTTCAATTTGAGATTTAATTGATTCCCTTTTATTTTTAATATTGCCAGAGAAGGCCAAGAAGATTTTAAAAAGGATTCTAATTGTTTTTGTCCTTTGATTAGTTTTCTTGTAGATTATATTGGAGGCCCTGGTTGTTGAGGCGGGGGGCGGGGGGGGTTGATTAATCAAGGGACTACATTAACATGACTCACCAGCTGTTTACTGAGTGTTACAGCTATTTGGCATGACCCAATGCAAGCCAAATTGAACAGGATTTGGTGGGAACTCTTTGACGCCGGCGACGCACCAGCAAACCCACGCATCTAAGCCACGCAGATGACGGGTCGACGAGCCGTTGGCGATGAGCCAAGCCCGGAATTCACAGGTTTGTGCCAAATATAGGAACGAAACTGGCCACTGGTATTCAATTAGTACAAGTACTCATTATATACAATATGTGACGCAAATAAATGTGCCTCACAGCTGGCTTATGGTGGCTTTGACAAAGAAATGGCTTCAGTTCAGTGGACCATAGCAGCATTTTCTCCTGGACACCAAGCTAGCAAAGTACTAGCTAGCAAGTTGGTCTCTTTTGGTCCCCACTGGTTTCGACTGCATCTCATCAAAAACATCCACGCAAACTAAAGTTTGGAGAGAAAGTGTTCTTGACAAACCAGCAGGGGTTTTGATCTGGCCATCTGTGGGCATCCTTTGTCGAGTTCAGAACTTAAAAAGCCAAAGATTGATTCAAAGCTCCACTTCCAGCGGGTACTCCAAATGATTCAGAACCTTGAACCATCTGAATCTGATACTCCATCCCAATCTGTGGTGGCTATTTCAAACCCACCTCTGCCACCATCGTTCCCCCCCCGCTTTCCAACTTCCAAGCTGCCCGTAGGCCCACCAGGGTGCCATCCAAGCTCAAGAGGACTGTCCTTGGCACCAGTGGATGGTCTGACTCATCTCTTCGGGTCCCCAAAAGTGCCAAGCCACCTTTTTCACGAAAACCACTCACAATGACTCAAAACTGGTGCTGTTGCTGCTGCTGTCCATTTATATAATGGACCTCCAATCTCCATCGAAACCTAGGGTGCTCAAACAAAAAAGGGATTAATGACAATATCTCCTTAAATTTGGGTCATACGAACCAACCATGTGTCACCAACAAGTGTCACCTGATAGTGGAAAAAACAATGAAACGCATTGAAAGGCGGCTGTCCAGAATCTACAAGAAACACGTAACACGTCACAACTTGTAATTCGCCACTCTTCAGTGGGCCTGGCCCACTTCATCCCTGCCACCCCCGGCTCAGCCCCTCTTTTTCGAACCAAAACGTCTGACCGTGGCATCCAGGGCGCGGCAGCTCTGCAAAGTAGAAGGTGATGGCTGTGAAGAAGGGCGGCCTTGAGAAGAGAAATCGAGCAGCGCCCGCCATCAACGGGCCCCAAGGAAACACCTCTTGAATCGCCTCTGAGGTGCTGAGGCGTGTTCTTACTTCTGGGATGGTGCCCTTATCAGAGAAGTCACGACCCCAACCTTTACACAGATCGAATGGCTCACGTGTAGTGAGCTTGTTTGATGGCTTTGGGCAAATGCTAGGTCATCTACAGTGAAAAAACAGAGCCTTGCAGCGTGACCGCCGGAACCGGCAGCAGCACAGTGTTAACCCAAACCGCTCGCCAGGGCCGCTGATCCCTCCCCACCCGTCCTGGGCAAGATCTGCTGCAAGCAAACATCCAGGCGGCCTTTCACCTAGAGTCTAGAGGGTGAATGGACGCGGACTCGGAGGCCGTGAGGATGAGGGCAGTGCCAACAAACAAAGTTCAAGCAGCAAAACCATGAAACCATCCTGGAGAAGCATCAGATCTTCAGCACAACATCAACATGTTTTGTTGCGCAATCTGGGGTGTGCTCTTTAACTTCCAGCCTCTTCCCCACGACCGAAATCTACTGAGTTACTGATCAAATCAAGGAAATGCTCGAGCACCTCAAGTCCGCATCTGCAAATGCATGATGATACCAGTATATATGCAACTACGTAACTATGGCGGTATATACAAACAGGTGCTCTTCATGATAAGACACTGTACACACATCAACACGTGTTCGCCTCCAAGTGCCCATTTCCATCACCCGTCGGCGGACGTGGTCCGTCGGAACGGTCCCCGCCAGGACGTGCTCCGCGGAGATGGCCGCGAAGGGCGCCGTGAGGGCCACGTCCACATCCGCGTCCCAGGCCACCACGCTGGAGACCTGGTCGCGCCGCGGATAGTGACCATTGCGGTGCAAGGATACTGCGCCATGCAGCAAGGTTGCGCTCCTTTCATTTGTTCTGCCATTATTGTACCAGGTCGTTACAATATAGAGTGTTGGACGTGGAAGTTCGCGGTAGTTGGTGCGTTGTGCTGCATGGCTGCAATGCTTCGAAGCCCCACGATTTCCACAACGAACCAACGTCCCGCGCAACATCTCGACCTGGATCAACCCAGTACCGTCCCCCGATGGAATCCTCGTTCGCTTCACGGCGCAACTGGACACCCTAAAAGCCATCCGAGCTCGAAGCCTTCGGACCTAGCCGGTTCGCTTCACGGCGCGGTCTCCTCGTCGTCGCGGCGCGGTCTCGGCACGCCTTGAAGCTTCGGAACTCGCCATCTTTGTAGGACTCCTGCGACAAACGCTCCACGTTCAGCCTCGGGAGATGAACGGCGTAAATTTCGAGACATCGGGAGTTGGAAGGAATGCGAAGGGTCGAGTCGACCGGTTTGAAGGTGAATCAACAGGAACTTGGATGTCACATGATCTGTATGCTAGGTCCGCTAGGTGATGTAAGGCGTAGCAGGGAGGACATAATGAGGAAATCGAAGTACGATCCATTTATGAAAGTGGTCAGTTTCACCTAGCGGTGAGGAATCCAGATGAATCCAGGGCACTTGTTGAGATTCATGGGCTATAGCTCCACTCGACGGCAAGCCTAAAGTGGAGGGCCTAGCTCAGAAAGTCGGCCCTAAGGCATGAGGACACTTGCGGTTGGTTTGGCCTCTCTCTCTCTCTCTTTGAATCACTCTGAATCACCTGTTCACCAGAATCACTCTGAACTTCTTCCTAGACCAGCTGGCTTGCTCAGGAGACTGTTACCAGTCTGCTTATCTCTACCAGACTTGAGGTTACTGCGGCTCTACTTGCTGGAAAAGTGTACTGAGTATACTGACAAGTGATGACATGAACAATGTCTCTTTTTCTGGGCCATGTCCCCACCAAACCAGCAACAATATCATCTTAATGTGTTAATTCTATAACATCTTACCTCCCATTCCTCCTCCTTAATCAACAAATTTCAGCCAGCTTCTCCCCATACACCACCCACATCGCTGTCAAGGGGCTCCTCCACCTTCAAAGCAGAGTCCCCAAAGGAGATTCGCCCGAAGCCTAGTCGAAGCCCCAGCTGCCAAATGTGGATGAGGATCCATGTCCATCAATAAATACCGCCAGGAGCTACAGTAAGTTAAAACTGTGAGAAGAGAACGTGTTGCTACGGGAGGCTCCTTTTTACATTATCCAGTCCTATAAGTATGCTGGCCAACACTAGTTGTCTGGCTAGCCCCGCTGCCGAGTTTCTTTTCTGAACAAGTCCTCTCCAAACAAATCTGGAGCCAGGGTAAGCACGCCGCCCCGATGAGGATGACGTCTTATTATTCTACGAAGTTGCTAGCTGTCCCCACAGAGAAAATTTGAATGCATGTATGTTCTAATCTATCAAATTCTAATTATTTGGAGTCGCTATGGTTGGGAAGTTCACCCTAGTCGCACGGAAAGGTCACAACTTGTCCACACAAACGAAGGAAGCCACCGACTTCCAAAGAGGCCACTTCCCACCATTCTTTTCAAACATATGTATTCGATTGTGTCTTACGAGCATGAGACAAGCCAAAGCTGCAGCAACAAGAATCCTTCAAGCATCACAGTCCTGCAAAATCCTGCAAACCCCATCATCCCATCATCCATCCTTTTCCCCGAGCAGCTCTTGATAGCCCTTGGAGACTCCCGGCCCTTCGCCCCGGCAACCGGCGCCGACCAACTCCGACGGAATGGCGCGCTGACCAAGTGGCCCAAGCTGCTGAGGAACCACGGCATCCTCGTCTGGATGGCTTCCTGGCGACATCGGGACTGAGTGGCTGAGTGGCTTCCGTGCTGACCAATTCACACACCATGTCTTGTCCAAGCTCATTGCTGCATCACCAATTAAATCGTTGGCACACGCAGGTCTGCCTTAAAAATGGCAAAAACGACAAACGCCCTGCCCATGGAACCCGCCTCCACGGTCTCCTTCAAAACAGTGCGGATGAAGCTCGTGATCTCCGGCCACATCTCCTGGAGACGTCGGGCGATGGGAGACCCAAACCCCCGGCTGTGGCGGCCTTGGTCGTCAAGCGAGTTCGGAAGCGCAGCCCCCAAGCAAAAGTCGGATCGTTGTTCCACCACGGTGGCTGATCACAGTACAGTAGATTCATGGAAATGGAGATTCAATCATTGGTGATTCCTAGTGACCTAGTGGGTTCTTTTCATGTTGCCGTCAACTGTATAGATGGAAAAACAAAGTTCCAGGTCTTGCAAGGGCATGCCACCCCCAGTTGAGAAAGTTTGAGAGTCCATGGCCTTCTGAGTCCAGGTCATGAGTAGATGGACCTATTTCTTTCCTCCCTCCGCCATTCACACACAGGATTGGACCAGTGGAAGGATGAACATGGATGAACCACAAACCTGGCAGTCCCATCCTTAAGTCACCTGACGCCTTTCACAGTGAAGGACCCCTAGTCGTCCGAGTGGACCATGGGGTCTGCCCCTGCGCGCTCGCCATGTACAACGTCCAAATCACAGACCTGGAAGCCTAGAAGCCCAGTTTTTCATAGACCAACCTGGCACCCTCCCTTCAAACAATGAGCTGGAACATCTCCCTACACGATGCCGCTTCTATAGATGCGTTGTTCACTTTGAGCCAATCCAGTTCCATGATTTGCTCCTGATAATAGGAAGTGCAAATCATTAATATTATCTGCATTACAGTCATCCTGCGGTAGCCTGCAGGTCTTTCCCGCGCAACGCCCTCCCTCTCTCCGGCTGCCCTCCCTCCCGTCCCTCTCCTGCACGGCGGTGTTGAGGAGCGACATCTCCGTCACATCGTTCCCTGGCGGAGCAGCTTCGGATGGCGTGAGCTGAGATGGCGTGCGGAGATGGCGGTGAGCTGAGAACAAAAACGAAAGGCACGGTGCACAGTGTTCATCATGCTACTGGTATCTATAGCAAGAAATGTTTGTTCTAAGCCCCTGGACCCCATGGGCAAGGAATGCTTCAGTTAGTGGTTGGTTGCAGTACCACATTCAAACCTCTTGTGGTGGCAGGTGATGGCGATGATATTCACAGTATACTTCCCTTGGTCACATCCACCTGTTGTCCAACCCTTCCGTCCACAACTGGGGATGCATCTGAAATTCAGTCCATGCTCGAACCTTGCAAAGGTAAGGATTGATGTGGCTGAATGTGGCTCAGTTTGTTGGATGCACCCTCTCACCCATTGGACACCCTCTCACCCGTTGGACACTTCCGAACAATGGCCCGGCGCCACTGCAACGCATCCACGGATCACCAAAACCGGACGCGCCTGAGCTCTCATTGGAGGCCTCGTCCAACAAGGCCTACCCACGGGAAGCCACTTCGCGGGGGGAAGAAACTGCAGAGTCCGATTCCATGAGAACTCCCGCTGAGTGAAAAGGAACGAAGGGCACTCCGAAGTCCTTTTTGTTTCGCTTCAAAGTCCTGCATATGAGTCACCATGCGACCCGCATGGACCTGAATTGCACCCTAGCTTGCGTTGTTGTCGTCACTGCCCCAGTTTGAGCAAACTCACTCGTGCTCCAACTGCACCCTCTTGGTGCATTCATTCGACCCTAAACTTCCCACCTTCCCACATTCACCCTCTCCCACCATCCAGTACTGTTCTGATCAACTTTGTGGTGTCCTCAAAAGCAACCATTAAATTTGAAACAATTGATTTGAAACGATTATCAAAACGGAATGCCTTTAACTTTCCAACCACACCTTTGGTGAGAAATCATTGAATGGAAGACTTGTAGAAATCCCCACACCTAAAAAGCGTTCCCTCCGGATTCCCGGCTGCTTCCACCTGCCCAACGTCAGCCCTCGATGGCCCTCGCCTCGCGCCGTGCGCGCCGTGGGGAGGTGGAGACGAAGACTGCCAAGGCCACGAGCAGCGCCACAACTTGCCGAGGCAGCACGTTGGCCAAGGCCTGGGCCGCGGCAGCACGTGAGCGAGCGAAACAAAGGATCAAGTCAGTCACCCGCCCTCTGATGTCGTTTGTGGGTGAACACCTGATGCCATGAAGAACATGGCATAGCCGTGAGTCGTTTTTGATCGCTTTTGGGTGACGTTGCACGGGGTGATGCGCCTGGTACATTGGCAAATCAAATCTTGGGCGGATGGTTGGTTGAACTAGGAGTCCCGAGAATACGGTTGTTGTTGTGCTGCGTTTTGGAAACTGAGGGCATATCCCAAGCCCAAGAATGCAACACAACAGTTAGTTTGATACCTTGTCTTCCCGGAGTGTTCCTAGCTCAAATCCCATTTCAGGCGGCCGAAACGTCAGCCAGGTTTGCAGGTGCCAGGGGTTGATTTTAGCACGAACTGGCCGGTTTGCTTAGAAAATGGCCTTGTCCAACACAGGCCGAGGTGCGAAACTCATCACGCTCAAGGCCACTTGCCTCGGTGCCACCGGAGACGAAGCCAGGGGTGTTCGGTCACTGTTTTTTGACCTCAAGGGATATCAATCTTTTTGGTTTCTTTCCTCATACCCAGAACAACTTATGTAATGTATGGAATATTTACTTGTATTGGCCCCTGAAGCCACCCCACAGTAGGTTAATATTCCACACATGGATTGTTCGGGATATGTAATACATACTATGATGATTACCTGAGAAGCTGCAAAACGAAAGCCAGCGCTTCCCTTTCTCGACAACTTCGCGTTAGGGGTTCAGATAGGTAGCTTTCAGGTATCGAAGGCAGTCTTCCAGGCCAAGGGAACTGAAAAAAGAAACCGGTGTTAAAATGGTTGTTCCGAGGCAAAGCTTGAACCTTGGGATGAGCTAAAGAGAAAATGAAATGCACCGGTGTCTTTGGCTCAAGTGTGGCCGGAGAGCAAGAGCCGATACAGGTGAGTGGGAGAGCCCACGACGAGCGAGTAGCGGCGGCGGTAATCCACCAAAGCAACAGGTCCAAGGGGGATCTGGGTATGAATCCGACGTCGCAGTGATGCCAACGACCCCAATGTAGGCATATGTGGCATACATGGAGGGTGGGCCACCCCCCGCGACCCCCGACCTACTAACGTCGTTCGCCAAGCACAGCTCAGCTTTGAGGGGGCCTGAACATAGTGTTTGAGGGCGGCAAACCCCAGGTCCCAGGCCACCTTGCATTTAGCTTCATAAAGATTCACGCGCGCGGACCCAACAACGACTTGCGTTTAGCTCGATAAACGTTCGCGCACCCCCCCCCCCATCGACCTTGTTGTAGCAGGTCTTTTTAGGAGCGGCCTTATCCAGGTATCCTTGTTTGAATCAGTTCTTCATTTGTGAGGTGGCCTGAACAATGGTTCTAGGGCAGCAAACGCCTGGCCCCAGGCCACCTTGAATTTCGTTTGAAAAAAACATGCTGTTCACATATAGATAATTCCCATCCACATTCAGATGAAGCAAAAGCCAAAAAATGCACATTGACCTACATTGACCTTGCACCTGGTTGAACATACGATTGGTTGTCATATGATTGGAAGTGCATTCGTTCAAGTAGAAAGTTTTTAGAGCAAAATTCGAGGTGGCCTGGGACCAGAGGCTTGCTGCCCGAAACTATATGTTCAGGCCACCTCAAAAATGAAGATATGCGAAGCAAGGGTCCTGAGGTGTCTCTGTGACAACGCTTTTGTTAAAACAGACAGTTTTTCAAGCTAAATTCAAGGTGGCCTGGGACCAGGGTTTGCTGCCCTAAAACACTCTGTTCAGGCCACCTTAAAA